CCTATTTTAGGCTGCATGTCATCTTGTTGCTGATAGTGACTCTTTTCAAGGGATGTCTTATAAGTGGGAATGTTTATTATGAAGTAGTCATCAGGAATCTGATGATGTTCAGAGGACAATAAGAAAAAGCAGGCAAGGTGACCTATGTCCTGTTCATATGGGGAAAGTGGGATATTAATAACTTGAAGTAAAAGAAAGGATTGTTTGTCAAGAACTCCCATCTATACATGTCAAAATGAGAAACTGATCTTGGACATGCCTTTTATACAGGATGGCTGCTAGTAGAATGGGTATTCAGAGGGTGACCTGGATTCTCTTGTAACTATCAGACACTTGCTCAGGGCTAAAGGGAATCCTGACTTTAAATGGCACTGTCTTTGGCATCAAGCCTGTAAGTACCTCAAACAATATTGAGCATATGGGTTACATATGGTTTACAGTACATCTGTGAAATCAGGTGAGTCCTGTGAATTCAGTGGAGATGAACAAGAGGAGCTCTTAACCACTTCACAGTTTCAGAACTGAATAGAGCCCAGTCCCCTACATATGGTCACTTCCCAAATATGTAGAAATGTTTATTGTGGTTGACAATTAGTGATTCTAAATATGGAATAATAATAATGTGATCAAGATGACACAGATGGCAATGGATGTCCATATGCTGGTCAAGTGGTATATGAAGGAGCCAAATATAAAAGTACTACTTGCTGGGTTAGAGATATGAACAGAGAGAACATTAGTGCAAATATCCCTGAATCTGCAGGAAACACTTCAAAATTTTAACTGCTGGAAAGACTGGCATCTTTTAATAAGGGTGAAGCATGATGTTGCTCATATGATCATTAGCCAAAATACGGGGAAGTACCAGAACCAGCATTTATCAGTGGTATCTGTACTAAGAATGCAACCAACATTGAATCTTTCTCTCATGAAGGCATACTCCATTTTGCAGCTCTTATTGTTCATGAGCTTGGCCACAACTTAGGAATGGAGCATCATTATGTGACCTGCAAGTGCCATGGCCAGAACTTCTGTACTATGCATGAATTTATTAGTGTAGATATGGGCTTCACCAACTGCAGCTTCCATGACTTCCACCAGCTGTTGCATAAGCACAGAGAGGACTGCCTGTTTAATAAATGTGAGTTTCAAAGCTCCTTTGGAAAGCCATATTGTGGGAACAAGATAGTGTATTAAGGAGAAGAATGTGATTGTGGCAGTGTCCGTGATTGTCAAAAGGATCACTATTGTCTGTCTTTATGACAACTGAAGAAGGGTTCAGATTATGTATTTGGATCCTGCTGCAAAAACTGAAAATTTTAAAAAGCAACAATACCCTGCCATCTCAGCATGGATGAGTATGACCTATTGTTGGGAAAAATGCTGAAATAATTTTCTCACAAGGCTGCTTTGTTCTTGAAGTAATATCTTGTCCTTGAAACTATACTTGCCTGCTCAATTAATCATTGCTTGGCTTCTGTAAATGAGCGCTTATCTGTACAGACTGCATATGCTAGCTGAAATGCTGAGAAAAGATAAAAAAATATGAGAAAATCCCTGGAAGATTCTGCTTATAAAAAGCCTTGTCAGACCTAGGTTCGGCGTCCAGAATTTCAGAGCACAAGCTCATCTGGACCTGCTAGCATAATAAATTCCTGGCTCTCCAACTCTCCGAGTGTTGGGTCACTTCTTGCCTTGTCTGTTTTTCTACAACACTACCAGATTACTGTAATGGCACCTCTAAGTGATATCAGTTAGTTACATACAAGCAAGATGGCACCCCTTGCAAAGAACAAGGTTACTGTCTCCAGGGCAGAAGAATTGGTCCATTATAATCTTTGGAAAGGGTACAAGGGATGCCCAGAAAAGTTATTACCAGGGGCGGATTTGGAAACTGGCAGTGACTCTAAACAGATATTCAAGGTCTTCAGCAAGTGCAAGACCAAAGATGTAAAATGTGAAAGGCTGCTATGTGAAAACATCCAAGGCTCCCATGCATTGAAAAACATCAAACACCCAGTTCTCCATGCAAGACATGTGAAGTTGGGGAACAGTTTTTGAAGCTACAGACAGGGCTAATGAGAGGGAGATGAAGAATGGTACCCCATGTGGTCAAGAGGAGATCTGTGTCAATTGATCCTGCCTAGATATCACCGTACTCCACTATAACTACAACCTGGACAAATGTCATGAGAGGGATGTTTGCAACAATTTTAAGAACTGCCACTGTGTTTGTGGCTATGGCCCTCCTACGTGTGAATTTGAGGCTTATGAGTAGTTTGAACATTGGTCCAAAAAGCTAATAATCCTAATTTGGGTCTTGCCTAACCTATTATTTCTCATTCCTACTATATTTACCTACATCTATAGAAGATCTAAGACCAATGTCAATGCAAAAAAATAAATAAATTATCAGAGCAGCAAGATGAACAAACCTGACAAACATCCAATAATTACCTTCTTTCTGGTAATAAAGCCAAATATAGGCTGGTTAACTATAGCATGGTGCTGATAACACCAAAGTCCAGGGTTTGATCCCTGTACTGGCCAGCCACCAAGGGAAAAAAAAAAAAAAAAAGCCAAATGTTAAGTGATAATACCAAAGGGGAACTTTTTAAGAATTGGGCTTCTTAGTTCTGGTGTCCCTAAAAAACTATAGAGTAGGGAATTCTTTCTTGATTCTACCTGTTTTTCTACAAATTGAATGCTTATTAGCTTTTAAAGTGAAATAAATTAAAACAGTTCCCTAGGTGAGGCAATCTTTCTTGTTCTATGCTATCCTAAAATCAGGTCTCCAGAGCTTTGGGGCAATAAGAAGCCTCAAGATATGATCTTGACTGAGTAAGGCCAAGTTATCCTCCATAATTTCTATGAAGCTCATGGTGTAAAACCTAAAGAGCTATTATCGAGCTCCCTAACATTTCTATAGAGAGCTCCTTTGGAAAGATCTCTGGAACTTGCTTTTTAGAGTATCCTGTCTAATCCCCGACTATAATCCTTTCTGCCAATTTCCCTATACTTAAATATTTTGCCTTGGACAGACCAACAGAACTTATCAGGTGACAAGCATCTGATCCTTAGTTCCAGATGTTTTGGCTGATTATCATTCCAGTAACTTTTGCCCATTTGGCTTTCCCTTTGTTTTGGCATCACAGTATATGATGCCCTGGCCTCAGATTGGCCTTGTTCATAACTTAACTGGAGAGACATCACTGTTATTTGATTCAAGAGAAAGAAACAGGTGAGATAGATACTCCTACCCCTGAATGAAGCTCTGAAGTCTGGGAATCTTTTCTTTCCCAAAAGGTTCAGATTCTATTAATCATTCATTTGCTCGTTCATTCATTTATTCTACAAACATATATTTGGCACTTACTAACATATTGACGCTGTCTGGTTAGTTCAGTTGGCTAGAGCGTGGTGTTGATAACACCATGGTTCAATCCCTGCTACCAGCCAGGCACCAAAAAATAAAAAAATAAAATAAAGTAACCATGTTCCAGCCAATCCCATCGTAAAGAGAAAAAACAAACAAACAAAAAAAAAAACTATTAGGTTGAACCATATGAAATTGAAATTAGGCCATTTTCACCTATAAAAATGGAAGTTCCTATGGTTCAATCTAATTTTATATGTTCAGGCACTATGTAACCAACCTTGGACTTCTGCTTGTAAATGACAGTTGAGAGTTACTAATTCCTAGAGTTTCTTTTAGTCCTGATTTCTCTTAAATCTTATTATCTGTAAAAGATTGGCCTTAATTTCCTAGAACAGGATGGTCCCTATTGTTCAAGTCCTAGAATAGAACTGAACATATGAGGCTAGGATGTGGTGTGTCTGAGGGTCCCCCTGTCACTCTTTTGATAGTTGTTGTCCTTGCTTCTTCTGAGTTTCCAAAACTCTTCAAAGAATAGAAACCCAGGACTTTCCACATCCAGAGAGAGTAATAGCAACAGCAAGACTTGAGCAAGTTGTTGTATATTATAACCCCCTCCCTCTACTGCAACCACAGAAAGCCTGGAAATAACATATATAAATAATAACCTGGAATTTATTTTTTTCAGAAGAGACTTAGACAAATCTAATATTCATCAAGGTAATATGAATCTATCTCTTAGATGGAAAGTGGCTTCATCTCCCTGAACAGAGAAGACTCTAAGAATCACTAGTGAATCTAGGAATAACTGGAGAGATCCTGCCCAACTCACCTAGAATAGCTACTAACTATGGCACTTTATTCCCTTTCAGTTCTGCAGTTTAAGATATGGCTAGAAAAGACTTAAGATGTCATATCCCTACATTTCTTCCCAGTCCGTTAGACAGGAATAACTCCAGTTCCTGGATGTTCTGGTGCAGGCTGAATATCCCTTATCTGACATGCTTGGGATCAGAAGTGTTTTTTTGGATTTTGGAATATTTTCATATACATAATGAGATATCTTGGAGATGGGAACTGTGAAGGTTAATTCTAGGTGTCAACATGATTAGGTTAAGGAATGACAAGAAACCTGGTAAAGCTATCTTTTTAGGTGTGTCCATGAGGGTGTTTCTAGAAGAAATTAGCATGAGAGCCTAAGTTGAGACTGTGTAGGTAAGATCCACCCTCAATATGGGCAGGAATCTGCTGGGGGCCCCAAGAGAAAAAAAAAACAGACGGAAAAAAAGGTGAATCACTCTCTCTGTCTGTTGGAGCTGGGATACATTCTTCTGTCCATGCGTATCAGAGCTTGAGACTCTTCAGCTTTTGGGTTCCAGGACTTACACCAAGGACAACATTGGCTTCCCAGGTTTTGAGAACTTTGGACTTGAACTGAGCCATGCTACCCGCATCCAGTTTGCAGATGGCCTATCATGGGAATTCTCTTCACAATCTCGTGAGCTAATTCCTCTAATAAATCCCCTATCATATACTGATAACATATCCTATTGATTCTGTCTCTCTGGAGAACCTGACTAATACAGGACCCATGTCTTAACAAGAAATTCATTTATGTTTCATATACATCTTGTATTCATAGTCTGAAGGTAATTTTATACAATATTTTAAATAATTTTGTGCATAAGACAAAGTTTGTGTACATTGAAAGCAAAGGTATCACTATCTCAGCCACCCATGTGAACAATCTATGGTTGTCTGGCACCATCATTATTCCTGACTCTGATTTATATGCTACTGATAAGCAATCATGTTCTTACACTTATTCACATATAAGTATTTAACAGTAAAAAATATGACATACCATTAATGCAGTGAAAAATTAATGTACAGGCTAACTAAGCAGCACAGTAGCATCACCAGAATACCTGCTGAGCATCTCTAATCTGAAATTCAAAATGGCAGGTGTGGAATTTTCCACTTGTGGCATCGTGTTGGTGCTCAAAAAGTTTCAGATTTTTGATTTTGTATTTTCAGATTAGGGATGCTCAACCTGTATTGTAGTTTCAAAGAATGGTGGAGGTGCTGGTAGCAAAAGCAAGAGTAGACTCCAGTTGAACTGGGCCCCTGCTATAGAATCTCTTCTGCGAGCATAATAATGGTGTCTGGGTGTCTGCATCACGTCGAGCCTCTTGCTTTAGTTGGTGGAACTTGTGCTCTGTCCAGGCATATATTCCACAGTTGAGCAGACCCTGAGATGCTGCTGTTAGAGCCTGAAGGAGATGAAGGGGTGATGGAGCCCATCCTTCAGGTTTTTAAAGATACAGGGAATAATCCCCATTCCCCTTATTTATAAAATATTACTGTTATATTTCCTCTATCTCAAATATCAAGATCTAGCATCAGTTTTTTACATTTTCTAGCTCCTCCTGAACTCACTCTTCACACTGCACCTTGTTGTGGATGACTAAGAGTTGGTCAAATTGCTTAATATAAAATCATTATATATAAGGACAATGAAGTGGATTCAATGCCCCATCTTATTGCCTATTTCTCAGGGTAGGCTTGAGAAAACTACCCTATCAGCATGGTCAGATAGCCCAAAAAGTCTTCTCAAATTTGCTAAAAGAGGAAAAGAGAAAGAATCATTCTATTCCTCCCCCACTCCAATTCACCAAAAATAGCTAATTTATCCCACTCAATTAACTGGATGGGAGAGAATCATGTCACTATCAGTGTTTCATAAGAACATGTCCTTGTAGATCTTGTTTTTGTGCTGCCCATCCCTTAAATACACATTAATGAAAGGAAGTTGACCAAAGATACACGTGCTCTGGAATGCCTGGCAGCACTTTTACAAAAAGCCTCTACCTTATCTTTGAGGAAATTTTCACATTCTTCATAACTGAGTGTAAATAATACATTTTCTCTTTTCAATGAAAAAATGAATACCCTGAGGGAAAAAATGTGCTTACTGAGCAATGGCAATGTATGAGAGTAGGACAAGAGAGTATGAGAACAGAGATACTGGATATTGAAGGTATTACCTGGAGAACATAGAGGGCCATGTGAAGCTTGGTGTCCTGTGGCTTGGTCAGCTTTATGGTGATCAGAATGATAGCTGTGAATTCACAAAGTGTAAATCATATTGTGAGCCCTGACTGCCTGAAGCATAAAGTTCCTAAGTACCCAGGCCTGAGAATTGCTAGAATGGAAGCTATAGGCATAATGAAGACCAGCAGTGAAATTAACAAGTTATATAAACCACTGGGCCTTAGGCCTCCAACTTCTAGCCCTTACTGATTAATCTCTGCAGATTATTAGTGAGATAATGGTGGCAAGACATAATATAGGAAGACAATTTACATTTCTTAGCATTTCAGAATTTAACAACCTCTTTCAAAAATGTTATACAATCTGTTCCTCACTATAACCTCACGTAGTAGGAAGGGCAGGGGATAGTATCTCCCAGTTCTATCAGGATATTTTCCCTCTCCTACCAGGTTGTATCTCATGTTTGATTATTTTAATTTCTAAAGCACAAGAAGAAAAATGAGTTAGGGGGATTGGGGAAAACTGGAAATATGCGTAGGGTCAATGTAAGTTTCACAAGCTCGGCAGGAATTTGCGATCATCCTTCTTGGTGAGACCATTTTGCTTGATGAGAACCCAGTAGCTGCCCTCTTTACTGCCCATCTCTTCCCATTAAGACACCCACCTGGACCCCAGCAGCAAAAGAAGGCCACTGGGTAGAAGCGTACTCTCTGCTCCACAATGTGAATCACAGCCCACTGTTCACTTCCCAGAAAGCCAGTTGATTTCACAAACTTCTTATACAATGTCTGGGCTTGGATGAGTAAGACCTAAACATGAGTGTGGCAGTGAGCAGTCTGCCTAAAGCTTAGTAAAACTTCCCAGGTCTATCCTATGATTGTAGAAGGAAAATTCTCTTAGAATCTCACACCAGGAAAGACTACTCACTTGTCTTTACCATCCAAGACCAGGCTTTTTCTGAGAGAAAATTACCTTCAGAGTGAACTTTTACTTTACCAAGGAAACAGATACTGGCCAAATTTGTGGTTATCATGTTTAATACATGAACCTTACATCAACTCTCAGGCTTTGTTTCCCCCTGAGGTTAATTAAAATGCACATGGGAAGTTAAAAATAAGCTCTAACCATACCCTCTTTTAAAACACTTTATTAGAGATCCCATTAGAATGTGTTCTATGCTTAATACCCTTAAAATAAATACTTCAGTACCATGGCTGTGCTTAAATTTTCAACGCTAAGCAAAAAGTTTTAGAAAGTCTCTTCTTACCCTTAGATGGAAAATAGATTATTTTCCCCTCCATTTGGTGGCTATCTGAATAAGGTTTAGCTAATTAAAGAAATAAATATAAATCAGCTCAGAAGTCCAATGTGGTTTTTTGTGGAGAATAAATTAGGTCATAATCTTGGTAACAAATCTGACCAAATCTGAATCTTTTCCCTAATAATCCAGATCTACTCTGTAAATTAAAAACCCAATATTAAATTCAGCCATGTAATCTCCTTTCCCCCCAGACATAAGAATAAAAATAAAGCTTGAACTTTTTTTGAGAATATTTATGTCTAGAAGAATCAGTTCACCATCTATTGATTTAAAAGGAATCCACAATGTTAATTCTGAATGGCCACTGTAGCCTGGGCTATCCTCAGAGTGCCAGGCCTTGGGAGACCTGTCTCTCTTGTCAATCAGTTCCAAATGTAAACCATCAAAGCTATTTTAATATAAACTAGTCATTGTGCATTCTTTACAAAGTTGCTAATTTGAGCTGAGCTATCTCTATAACTTATTTTTAATTGTCAAAGGAAATTCCTTAGAGAATAGAATCGTAGTCACTAGAGAATGATAAGAGGAGCAGTGAGGAAGGATGGGAAGAGGATGGTCAATGGATACAAAATTGTAGAGAGACAGGAAGTATAAGATCTAGTGTTGTATAGCAATATAGGGACACTACAGGCAACAACAAAGTACTGTATAACTTCAAGTAGCTAATTGAGAGGAGTTTGAGTGTTCCCAACCCAAAGAGGTGACAAATGTTTGAGGTGATGGATATGCTGAATACCCTGATATGATCATTGCACACTATACAAATGTAACCAAATATCACACTGTACTCCATAAATATATACAATTATCATGGATCAATTAAGAAAAAATAAAAAGAAATAGTAGAATAGAAGTTACTAGAGGCTAGAGGGGAAACAGGAGATGGGTAGAGGTTGGTAAATGAGTATAATGTTACAAAGTTACAGTTAGATAGGAAGAATAAGTTCTGGTGCTTTCAGGTGACTATAGCTGATAATATTGTACTGTATATTTTATGATAGTCAGAAAAGAGGATCTTGAATTCTATAAGCACAAAGAAATGATGATAAATGTTTAGTGACAGATATGCTAACTATTTTGATGGGATCATTATATAAGATATTCATGCATTGAAGCAACAACCGTCACCTCATAAAAATGTATAATTAAAAATAAAATTTAAAATGGCATTTCCCCATAATTATACCTGGTTACAGGTGCTAGCTATGGTAGCAAAACAAAACATTGTGGGATAAATTTAGCCTGCAGGTAGTTTGTAATTCCTGACTAGAATATGAGGAGAAGAGAAAATGATACTGAAAAGTAGATATGGCAAATAAAAAGGCATATCTGCTTGCATACTGCTTCTGTACTAGACAATTATGTATAAATAACTATCCCCTGGCTGATTATTTTAATTGTACATCACCCTGATGATATCAAATGAGTATCTGACAAGCTATTTAGCACTTTAAGCCCAGTTAGACATAGCATAAATGCAAAGTGATGGCCAAATGAAGAATTAATAAAACTTTAAAATTATTTGGAAAATCAATCAAAGCACATGTCCTATGTTCCAGGTGTCATCCTGTATAAAGGATATACTTGACACATGAGTTTTCTGTTCTAGTCCTTCATGGGGATAGATGAAACACACAGAAGTTGTAGAACAAGCATAATTTTCACATAATGAATACAAACTCTTTTCCCCATTCATCGTTTGATATTGGAAAGTCCAAAAGACTGAGGTAGTAATTTACTTACTTTGTCAAGATCTCTTAGCCACTTTCTTAGTTCTAGGACCATAGGAAGTGCCTCTCTGCCCCATCTTTCTCAAGCTCTGGGTCTACTGCTCCCCACCCCCCATTCTCCCTCTGTCTACTAAGGCAGGTAGGGTGGCACCATACCACAATGGTGAGGAGACTGAGTAGAAAGCTGGTCAGGAAAATGATGATGCCATAAAAATAAAGTGTGCTACAGACAGATATGTTGGCAGAAGGCAGGAGTTCAACCATGGCTGATGGTGGCGAGTGCATCAGGATACACCTAGGAAGAGAATCAAAGAACAGGAGTACTACTACAGATCTAAGATGAGAGATACTCATTCAGTGCAAAAGAAGTTAATGAGTATGTAATTTTACTTATTGTTTTGCTAACCCTTACCCATAACACCTTATTCCTTCCCACAGACACATTATCTTGTAGTCACTTGGTGTTATATTTTTACTTATGTATTTTTAGCCTTGACTACAATTTGTTTCATAGCCCATTTCCAATACAAGCACCCTGGCCAGAATGTTTGTAGAAAGTCTCTTCCAATTTCTATTCATAGAAAAGAATAGGTGTAGTCTACCATGAAAATGATAGATTTGGTCCTTACCTGTGGCTCTGGCTGAAGTTATGGAAACATTCACTGGTATTGCCCAGACAGAATACAGGTGTCATCAACAGTAGAGGTATCAGGCTGGGAGGAGAAAACATATCACCCTAATATCCACACTTTTTCATGCCCTTCCCCGTTTGTCATATTCTCTGTTCTTTGCCAACTCCATCACTCCACCAGTCTCCACAAATACACACACATTTAATTTCTTCAAGAGAAATACCTCAAATATCTTAAGTATTCCTTCTTTTCCAGTTCCTGGAAAAGTGAAGTGGGGAATGGATTTTATATCTATGTTAATGAACCCTAACAGAGTTTCATAGAGAATCTCTGGGAGCTGTATGGTCAGAGAAAAATCCAAGTGGGTCAAAGTGAAAGGAAAATCTATGAAGGAGTTCTGTGTACAGTTTGTTTTACTTTGCATGGTGACCAGGAATAACTTCATTTTCATCAGTCCCTTCCTAGGAGCTTTTCCAAATCATACCTTTAAACAGCCAGCTATTTGTCCAGCTAACTATAGCCAGCTCCCTGTAAGAGGAGAAAATCCAGGAGCAAAAGTTAGATAGTCTAAAACAAACTCTGATGTGACCACCACTTTAGGTGAGATCCAGAACCTTTCCAGGCTTTATAATTCTGAGAGTCTCACTCAATGTCATAAAGTGGATAAGATCTGGAAGGCCATCTATTACAACTTTTTATGATATAGGAAGAAAAGAATTAGAGGTCCAAAGACTTAAAGGGATTAGTTCAAGGTCACATAGAGTTGATGGTAGAATTGGGGCTAAAACCCCAAATCTGTAGCATAAAACTTGTTCCCAATTCCATGTGGAAAAATGGAACCAATGATCACATACTTGTTGCTTCCTACTCAGTAAGGCTCTGTGAATACTTAGGAGTGACAATGGACATTAAGGGCATTGTCCTATTTGTTCCACCTGAACACTGGAATAATGAGAGTCTACTTCTTGCTAGGAAGGAAAGAAAAAAATCTTACCTTGACAAAATGAAGGCTATTTGACCAACTTGACAAGTATAATCTATCACCTATGAAAAAAATGTGAGAAATGTCTTAGACATTGCCAATCACATTATAGTAAACACCAGATCATCACTTAGCACTCGACAGAAGAAAAAGATTTCTAAGAGCTAGTTTGCTTCTGTCAAGCAATTATTTGCTATAAAATTCATGAAACAGGTCATTCCTTAGCATTGGAGATGACAGAATTTTACCCTCTGCTTTATTTTGAATTATAAATTCTGACTTTACATCACGCCCTTTCTGCCATAACTCAGTGTAGGCTGTTACAAGTATCCATGCAGCTTCCTGAATAATTTTCTGCTTAGAAATTTCTTCTGACAAATGCTCTGGTTTATAACTTTGAAGTTCCACAGTCTATAAAACTTCTGGGTATGAACAGAATGCAATCAAGTTCCTTGCAAGTTCATAGCAAGGGTGATCTTTGCTCCAGTTTCCAATAAACTCCATCTTATTTCTATCTGAGACATCCCTAGAATGGTCTTTACAGTCCATATTTCTATCAACATTCTGGGTACCATTATTTAACCAGTCTCTAAGATGTTCTAAACCTTCCCCGGCTTTCTTGTCTTATAAACTCCCATCAGCAGCTAGGCTTTTTCTAGCCTGCTCCTCCAACTTCTCCTAGCCTCAACACCCAGTTCCAAAGCCATTTGCATATTTTCAAGTATTTGTTATAAGCAACACCCCACCATTGGTACCAATTTTTCTGTATTAGTCTGTTTCTGTTGCTTATAACAAAATACTTGGAACTAGGTAATTTGTAAAGAAACAATATTTATTGCTTACAGTTTCAGAGGCTGGGAAGTCCAAAGACCAGGGAATACAGCTCGTGAGGGGACTCTACAGCAATGCAGGGAGGCACATGGCAAGAACGGCAGAGTACAGAGAGACGGATCTCTCTACTGCCTCTTCTTTTAAAGCCCTCGGAACCATCACCATTAAACCATCAACTTGATTCATTCATTTACTAGGGCATGATTCTCACAATCTAATTACCTCTTCCAGGCCCTACCTTTCAATTATCATAATAGGATTTCCCACCCTCAACAATTACAGTGGGGATTAAGCATCAATGAGTTTGGGGAGACAGTCAATCCACTGCAACCTCAAATGACCTTTTCACAATATTATAGTATCATTTATTCATTCAAGGAGTGTTTATTGAGCTTCATCATGTGCCAGACAGTATACTACTTTAATTTATTCTAGAAGTAATCTGCCAGGCTCTAGAGAAAAGTGTCGGGAGGCTTCCAAATTAATTTACTCCATCATGCCCTTAACAAAAATTCCCCTTCAAAAAACCACAACAGTATGGATATAGCAGAAATAAGAAGACTGGCATACTTAGTAAGATATGTATAATACAAAAATATATAAAGACATCTAAAGAAATTAAAATTGATAACGTCATAAAAGTGGCATCTGCCAAGATCACTTAGTGATATGATGAAAGAATCAGAAATAAGAAACTCAGTGTACTATACAATGGAATACTATTCAGCAATAAAAAGATATTAATTACTTATATGAGTACATGTTACAATGGACGAACTTCAAAAGCACTGTGCTAAGTAAAATAAACCATATACAAGAGATCACATATTGTATAATTCCATATATATGAAATGTCCAGAAAGGGCAAAACTATAGAGACAAAAAGTAGATTAGTGGTTGCCTGGTGCAAGGGGTGAGAAGGGGATTAATGGTAAAGGGCATGAAGGATTTTACTGGGGTAAAGAAAATATTCTAAAACTTATTTATGATAATAATTGTGCAACTTGGTAAATTTACTAAAAAAATCATTGAATTACACACTTGAAATAGGTGAATTATGTGATATGTAAAATATACACACACAAAAGAATCCTTAGTGTTCTCCTCTCTTTTATAACTTTGTAATGCTGGACAGTGCCACAAACTATCTTTATGAACCAAAGGAGAGAAGACAACTGCCCTCTGGATCTATCTTGTTCTCTGACTACTACCACACATAATTCCTCTGCTCTTCTGCAAACCAATACCTACCGCCATAATGAAGAAATACAGCAGAGTGAAACAAACACTCTCTCTCTGTAATACCTGTAAGCCCCGAATCCCATGTTAGCAGACAGTGTACCTACCATGACTCTTGTCCAAGACTTTTTTCTTTACTCTAGTAACAATGGTGCATTGGCATGGAGCCAAGAATGATTTTCCTTACTAAATCAACCAGGAAGGAATGGAAGTACTGTAAATAATGTTTCCTATTATCAAAACTTGTGTTGGGGCCGGCCCGGTGGCGCACTGCTATAGTGCGGCGCTTGAGAGTGTGGCGGCGCTCCCGCCGAGGGTTCGGATCCCACATACAGACCGGTTCCCGATCACTGGCTGAGCGAGGTGCGGGCGCAGCACTGAGGTTTGCGTTCCCGTTGCCGGTCCTGGTCCGGTACGGGCGCGACACTGAGGGTTGCGATCCGTTGCCGGACACGAAAAAAGACAAAAAGGAAAAAACAAAAAACAAAAAACAAAAAACTTGTGTGTATGGGGGGAACAGAGAAGAGGAAATGATGCCAACAGAATGGAAACTCTGTGGAAACATGGTTTTTCTTTGATTAACCTCCATAAATTCACCTACCTAATGCTGAGTGCTTACACTGCTTACCAGTAATATATGGGTTTGTTTTAGCATACTATTCTTAACTATCATCTCTGGATAAAACTTACCAATGGAGATGTGCTCTGTCCACTCTGGTTGTATTTCATCCTCAGCTCTCTGTACAGATACCAGATGTAATTGACAGTGTAGAGAAATGAGGAAATGTAGAATATCTATGTGAAAATCAAAACAATCCATCATAACCATCCACTCTGACTTTCTTCCTCTTAGTCCATTATTTCCTATTGTAACATTGCTGCCTACTGGTCTGTTAGTAATATACTATCTACTATCCACACCAGGGAAAACCAGGTCAAGTCTGGGGATTCTATCTAGGCCTACCTGAAACATGCCCAGCTTCCTTATGTTATCCTTTTGACTGTTCAGAAGGACCACAGCATTACTCACTTCCTCTCTCCCAGCTGTTCCAATTTTATGAAGACATCATAGAATATTTTTCTATTTTATTTCTAATTGAAAAGACAATAAAGATTTCCATTTCTAACAATGTCAGCCTAGGCTATTTGAACCAAACTTTCCACTCAATAGAACAAAACATGCTGGATAAAATATCTTTTATTAATCCTTAAAAGCATCAAAGAATTGACAAGATAGTAAGGAACCAACAGGATAAAATATAAAAGAAGAAATTTCTGCTCAGCTTTGATGAGATAACAGGAATAAAATTTACCCTCCAGCCTTACACAACTAAAAATTGGACAAAATATATGATGACACCTGGCTTTCAAATAGTAAACAACAAGCAGTAAAGGACAACAATCCCTGAAAGAAGAACAACAAACAAGGTGAGCCCACCGAGTGCCCCAACTCACTGGCTGGATAGAGGGTGATGAGGGGAAATTCAAACAGCTGTCTTGGTGAGTTGAGAAGACAAGAGTTCAGAGTCTGGGAGGCTGAGACAACTAAAATTTGTGAAGCAGATCATCAGAGAAGAGGTAGTTACACAAAGATATAGTGTTGTGAAGATCTGCAGAGGTCAGCTAAGTATTAATCTATGCATGTGGGAGAGAAAACCAAAGACCAGGAAAGACCACCAGAAAGGAGTAGGTGGAACAATTCCCAAACTTCACACAAGGCCAAGATAGTTTGTTTCCCCACCAGCCAAAGTGGAAAGACTTCCTAATACATAGGATATAATCATAAGAAGAGTCTTGCTTCAGTAATGGGGCCAGATTAGCAGTACATGAAAGGCTGCCCTCACAAAGCTTAAAAGCAAGCCTTCAAAAAACAGCCAAGCCTTGAAAGGATCAAAGAGATTCAGAGTTAGCTGCATCCAAGACAAACCTCCCCCAATTTAAAGAAATATATTTTAAAATATAATACCCAACAGTGTAAAATCCACAATGTATGGTATCTAATGTAATTTAAGACATGCAAAGAAGAGTCCCAGTAAAGATGGTGGAGTAGATGGTCCCCAGCATCACTCTCTCCCACAAATCAACCAATTTGCAACTATAAAAAATGTAACAACAGCCAAGCTGGGGCCACTGGAGCTCAGGGGAAGAGGAGGAGAGACCT